GGAGGAAAGAATTTAATAATAAAAGCCCGCCATCTCGTGGCCATTTTTCGTCATTGAAGGGGGAGAAAAAAACTGAATAATAACCCGCCATTTCGTGGCCATTTTGCGCATGGCAAGTGGAGGAAAGAATTTATTAATAATAGCCCGCCATCTCGTGGCCATTTTTCGTCATTGCAGGGGGAGAAAAAAAACTGAATAATAATAACCCGCCATTTCGTGGCCATTTTGCGCATGGCAAGTGGAGGAAAGAACTTAATAATAATAATAATAATAATAGCCCGCCATCTCGTGGCCATTTTGCGTCATTGCAGGGGGAGAAAAAAAAACTGAATAATAAAAGCCCGCCATTTCGTGGCCATTTTGCGCATGGCAAGTGGAGGAAAGAATTTAATAATAAAAGCCCGCCATCTCGTGGCCGTTTTGCGTCATTGCAGGGGGACGAAAGAACTTTAATAATAATAATAATAAAATAATAATAATAAAAGCCCGCCATCTCGTGGCCATTTTGCGTCAGTGCAGGTGGAGGAAAGAATTTAATAATAAAAGCCCGCCATCTCGTGGCCATTTTGCGCATGGCAAGTGGAGGAAAGAAGTTAATAATAATAGCCCGCCGTCTCGTGGCCATTTTGCGTCATTGCAGGTGGAGAAAAAAACTGAATAATAACCCGCCATTTCGTGGCCATTTTGCGCATGGCAAGTGGAGGAAAGAATTTAATAATAATAGCCCGCCATCTCGTGGCCATTTTGCGTCATTGCAGGGGGAGAAAAAAACTGAATAATAATAACCCGCCATTTCGTGGCCATTTTGCGCATGGCAAGTGGAGGAAAGAATTTATTAATAATAGCCCGCCATCTCGTGGCCATTTTGCGTCATTGCAGGTGGAGGAAAGAACTTAATAATAATAAAAGCCCGCCATCTCGTGGCCATTTTGCGTCATTGCATGGGGACGAAAGAATTTAATAATAAAAGCCCGCCATTTCGTGGCCATTTTGCGCATGGCAAGTGGAGGAAAGAATTTAATAATAATAGCCCGCCATCTCGTGGCCTTTTTGCGTCATTGCAGGTGGAGGAAAGAATTTAATAATAAAAGCCCGCCATCTCGTGGCCATTTTGCGCATGGCAAGTGGAGGAAAGAACTTTAATTAATAAATAATAATAATAATAATAATAATAATAATAGCAATAACAATAAAAATAAATAATCTGATTATTTTTATTTATATTAACTTTTGCGATTCCTTCCCTGTGCCTGCCATAATGAAAAATATCCACCAGGTAGCAGGCTGTTATTGCTGTGCAATTTCTATACTTCTGTACGCATTATTATTATTCTAAAGCGGCAGGGTTTTTTGCAGCTGTGGTCTTTTTAGGCTCCCCTGATGGAAGATAGAATTTCCCTCCAGTGCATCAACTCGGCTTCAGGGTCAGCTGGAACAATGCAGCCCCTTCCTCGGCCCTCCACAAGTGGCAACAGCTGTCCAGTTAACCCCCCAAAAATCTTCTCCATCCATCGGTCTCCATCCACCATGTCCTCTTCTCCTCTTGCCAGCTGTCGCAACTCTGCCTGAGGCAGCGGTTTCCGATGGTGGTGACTCCCTCTCGCCTCCTGGAGAAGGAAGGAAGAGAAACGTGCTTCAATCAAAGGAAATATCACATGCAAGGTGTACACTTTGGGGTCGGTCTAGATGAGCTCTGGGGTATCTCTGTCTTCTTCAAACGGATCGGATGAATTGGGCGGCCTTAGGCCCTTCCAAACAGGGCTTCTCAGGCACCAAAGGCATCGAAATGCTCTCCCAGGATTAGCGTTGCTTCTGACCTTGGATGGTCCTCAACCAGGAGAAACTTGGCCAGCCCGCCACCAACGGCTTGGCTTTCCTTAAAAAGCTTCGGTGACAAGATCTGAACTCGGCTCGGGAAGCCCTCCAAGCTGGGGGGGGGGGGGGGGGGGGGGGAGAGAAAACACCCCCCTCCCTTCTCAATCCATGTCAGACGCTGCCTTTTGTCTCCTCTGCCAGACTCTTCCTCGCCCCTTGCCTGGTTTTTAATGTTTAAATTTAGTTTTTAAAGTTGGGAAGGATCCCTTCCTGCAGTGAGGAGGAGATCCTCTTTGGCCCTCAAGTTTAGCCAGCGGGATTTCTTTCTCTCTCTCTCTTTTAAACCCATCACCCTGGAAGAGATGTTGATTTGTTGTTTCAGTGCTGGGCTGGGCAGCTGAAAGCAGCAGAGCTTTTAAATAGAAGTGGGAAGAGAAATCCCGAATTGAAGGACGGAAAAAGGATAAGGGGTTCACGGAAGGAGAGGCGGGAGCCGAAAAGCAGAAATTAAAAGTAAGTGGTTTTATATGGGTTTTTTTTTTCCCCTGGTTCAGAGGAGGCAGCTGGCTTTTCATTTTCCACGGCTTGGTGGGCTGAGATTAGAGGAGGGTATTTTTATCCTGCCGCTAATTGTTGTTTTTATAAATAACTCCAGGCAGCCAAAGGATTGATGCCAAAAATGATTCCCAGGGAAATTGACGGGACCATGGCCAGGGATGGGGGGAAAAGGGGTTGGAAAACTTATTTTAGCTTTTGCAAAGTTAAAAATGCAAACATAAGAAGGCCCTTCCTTCCTTCCATTCCCGTCTTCCTCCCTCTTTCCTTTCTATCCAACCCTTCTTTTCTTCCTCCCTTCCTTCCACCTTTTCCTTCTACCCCCTTTCTCCTCCCTCCCTCTCCTTCCTTCTTCCCTTTCTCCTTCCTTCCTTTCTTCCTTGCTCCCACCCTCTATCCTTCTTTCTTCCATCTCCTTCTTTCTTTCCTTCCTTGCTCCTCCTTCACTTTCTCTCCTTTCTTCCCTCTTCTTCCTTCCCACCTTGCTCCCCCCTCCCTTTCTCTCCTTCTTTCTTCCCTTTCTCCTTCCTTGCTCCCTCCCTCCATCCCTCCCTTTCTGAATTCTGCCAGCAGAGGCCGCTATGGGAGTGAGCAGACTTTCATTTTGAACATTTTACAGGAAAGTGCACAAATTCAGCCCCTTTTAGGGAGGGATGGAAGTTCAGCCACCAGGACAAAGAAGAATAATCCGGTGCTCACAGACAAAAACAACCCATAAATACACCTGTTCTTTGCAACAAACTATAAATAAACCGGGGTTATGTTTGTCTGGGAGATGCCAAAATGCAGAGATAATCCTTAGCTCGTAACACTATTTACAGCTACGCTTCAGCACAAAAGACACAAACGAAACAATAGAAAACTTTTGCAAGTCCCAGAAATTTCTCAGCCCAGGAGGCTCCCTGTTCCTTCTCTGCATGAGCTGCTGTTCCGGGATGGTTTTTCTCCTACACTGTTTAGAGACACACAGGGCAGGTTTCCAGGGATGTTCTCAAAATCTGGAGAATGTCTGATTGATTTATTCCCCTTATTGATCTAAGCAATTCACCTGCTTTGCAATCCACCTTGTCTCGAAATGGTGGAAGGTTCGGAACAAAATGCCCATCCGCTGTTGGAATTACAGGACATCTACAAAATAAAATATAATACAAACTAAGCTATAAACTAGACTATAATAAAAAGTAAACTATAAAGTAAACTATAAACTATACTAAACTATAAACTAAAATATAAATTAAACTATAAACTAAACTAACATAAAATAAAATAAACTATACACTAAACTAGAAATGATAAAGTCAGACCATCTGGCTGACTGTGCAATGAACCAAAAATAAAATAATAATAAAATAAAGTAAAATCAAATAATAATGATGATAAAATAGTGCGAACATCCTGATGACTGTGTAATGAACTAAAAATAAAATAAGATAAAATCACCTACTGAAATGAATCTGCAGACTTCAGGGGGACACAGGTCTCTGCGGCTAGGCAGAAAAAGCCGTCCAGGTGTTTCTCTCCCGCTCTCCAGATGTCGGGCGGGATCTTCACCCCCTTGGAGAACCTGTGTGAGCTGGACAACGCCAACTGCCACCCGCTGGTGTGCTTCCTGTGCCACGAGCAGTACGAGCACCCCTGCCTCCTGGACTGCTACCACAACTTCTGCGCCAGCTGCCTGCGGGGACGAGCCATCGACAGCCGCCTGGCCTGCCCCCTGTGTGGGTAAGGAAGGACTCCCTGGCTTTGGGACCGCCTTACCGGGCAGTAGGGGTTGGAGTGGAGGACCTCCAGGGCCCCTTCCCACTCTAGGATCCCGCCTCCTGCATTTGGCAAAGCTAAGTTGCTAGCCCTCAAGGTTTCTGCCAAGGAAGACAGGGGGCAGTTTCTGGAAACTCAAATAGATTAAGAGAGGTCTTACAATTAGAGGACTACCAATGATTGTCCAGGCTCTTCTTGAAAAACCTCCACCGCCTCTGGATTTAATTATGGCTTGTCACGGGTTTTAATCATGGTTTGTCATGGTCAGCAGCAAATAAGCTCCAAAGACCTTACTTTTGAGTAACCGCAAGCCAGGTTGTGTCTTCCTTGCAGCCACCAGTCCGTCGTGAAGGGGAATGGGCTCCCTCCTGAAGACCAGCTGCTCAAATTCCTAGTGGACAGCTCCGGAGATTACGAGGAGGATGTCCTGTGTGCGAATTGTGACCTGCAAAGCACGAAGCAGGTAAGCCAAGATATGATCCGGCCTCCGACCAGGTGGGGCAAGTCCCGTCCAGAAGCATTTGCAGGGATAAAGGGGTTGTTTCGCCGTACAGGATCATAGACCAGCAGGCGAGGGGGTCCCCCTGAGATCATCTAGGCCAACCCTCTAGGCACGCAGGCTGAGGAAATTCTGGGAGTTGGAGTCCACCCCTTTTCAAATTGCTAAGCTTGAGAGACAGCAATGGAGCACCCGTGTGGCGGAGCAGTCTATCTTAGCAGCAGTGGCGAGTGTCCCACAGAGCACACCTTCTCTAATTACCTTCAGGAGCCCCTTCCCAGCCCCCTTCTCTGACTGCACCTGTTTCTCCTCCTCCCCTCCAACACCCATCATCCCCTCCCGAAGGAGCTGGACGCCATGTACTTCTGCAACACCTGCAGCCAGCCGCTGTGTGCCAAGTGCCGGGAAGAGACGCACAAGGCCAGGATGTTCTCCCGCCACGAGATCGTCTCGCTGAGCAAACGGGCAAAGGAGGTCCATAAGAAATGCCGTACGTGCTCAGAGGCTAGGTTCTCACGCGTGACCCTTCTTGACCCTCCCCCCGCTTCCCAAAAACCCGGCCAAGCCCGACTTCCTTGCAGTGAGAACACAGCAGCAAAGAATCACAGAACTGTAAAACCGTAGAATCATAGAACCCGAATCCGAGAATTGTAGAATCACAATAATAGAATCAGAATTGTAAAATCATAAATTACAGGACCAGAATCACAGAATCCGAATCATAGAATTGCAGAATTGGAATCGTAGAATCATAGAATCTCAATCATGGAATTGCAGAATTATAGAGTTGTAGAATTGTAGAAACACAATTAATAGAACTGAAGATAGAATCATGGAATCACAAAGAAATAGGGCTGGAAGGGAACTTTGGAGGTCTTCTAGTCTAACCCCCTGCCCCAAGGCAGGAGTGGTTATAACTTATAAGTCATTCTTATTTTTGTTCCTTTTGTTTTCACGTTTTGCTTCCCACGTCTTCCTTCTACGATCTGGAATCTGAATTCTCCCTTGAATTTGCAACCCAAACAAGTTTTGGTTTGAAAGCAAGAAAATCTTCTTTTCCGAGGCTCCAAATTTTCAGTATGATTTTTGGGGGGGCTCAACCATGAATTATAAAATCACGCTGTTGCTATTTTCTCTCTTCCTCAGCCCTCCACGAGGAATTGTACATCATGTTCTCCACGGAGAAAAAATCCATGCTTTGCATTAACTGTTTCCGGGATATGCCTGTGTAAGTTTGCAATTTTTCAAAACCCACCTCTGTCAAAGGCATTTTAAGGGCTTTTAATCTGAATTTAACTTAATTTGAATTCAATTTAATGAATACAAAATTAAATTAAACCAAACTGAATTTAAACTTTAACGGGCCGCCCTGAAAGGCTCTGTAGGGTCTCCTGCTTGGGCAGAGAGTTGGATTATTAAGAAAGTCCTAAAAAGCAGATAATTCCATTTTTTCCCCTTCTCCAGGGAGAGCCGAGCTCATTGCATCGATATTGAGACGGCCTACATGAAGGGGTGTGAGAAGCTGGACCAGGCTGTGATGGTGAGCGGAAAGGAGTTGGGAAATAGCCCTGGAGCTGGGAATGGCTTTTATTCGCCAACGGAGGTTAGAGGTGACATTAGAGGGCATCTAGTCCAGCCCCTGGCTAGTGTGGGAAGGACGTGCCACCACGGGGATTAGCCCACGCTGGGATCACGCCTGGAAAAGCAGTTGGGTGTCTTCATCCTTCCTTTTCTGCCTCCCCCTCTTCCTTTCTTTCCCTCCCTCCTAACTGCCCTTTTCCCCTCCCGTTTTTCCTTCCTTCCCATTTGCTCTCTCCCTCCCTCCCTCTTCCTTTCTCTCCTCCTTCTTTTCCTTCTTTCCTTCCTTTCTTCCCTTCCTCCCTCCCCACCTTTCCTTTTCCTTTTGTTCTCTTCTTCCTCCCTCCCTCCCTCCCTCCCTCCCTCCCTGTCTTTCCATTCCTCCCTTCCATCCCTTTTCCTTCTTTCTGACCTTTTCCTTTCCTCTCCTCTCCTCCTCCCCTCCCCCTTTCTCTCCTTCCTTCCTTCCTGCCCTCCCTCCCCGTGATCGCCAGGACTCCCCTCCCTTACGAGAAAAAGTTTCCAAACAGGGGCCCCTTTTTGCAAACGTCGCCCTGGGCCCCTCCGAAGGGTGCCAAGCGCCAGAAGGCTTGGGTTCGAGAGGCAGCCAGCCACGGCTGGCAAAGCCTGGCTCTGGGGCAGCTTCGACCAGAGCAGCCAGCTCTTGAAGGCAGCCGTGTCCCACGTGGCTGCGTGTCTGTCCGTGGCAGGCGGTGAAGGAGCTGCAGACGTCCACCCGCGAGGCCATTGTCCTGCTCAAGGCCATGATCGAGGAGGTGCGGAACAGCGCGGACGAGGAGTCCTCGGCCATCAACGCCCTCTTTGGCAGCATGCAGGTGAGACGGGATCACCTGTGCCCCTCCCCCCGGGGGCCAACCCTCCCTGCCCCAATCCTCCTCGTTCCCCTTTCCTTCTCCTAGGAGAAGCTGGCCGAGAGGAAGAGGAGCCTGCTAAAGGCTGTGCAGAGGTAAAGGCTGGCACTCCACCTGTACGCAGGTAGTCCTCGAATTTATGACCGTCAGTTTAGTGAGCCTTCAAAGTGGCGGCGGCACTGAAGAAAAAGGAGAGACCTAGGGCCATTTTTCACACTTACGACCGTCAACGTATCCCCAGGATTATGTGATCAACAGACTCACACGACGGTCTCAGGGAGGGTCCCTGGGGTCACATGCCCCCCCCTTTTTTACGGCCAGTCATTATGTCCCCCTTTCACCCCCCCAGCACCGTGGCAGCTTTGAAGAGTCCTCAAACGACCAGGGTTTGCTGCGACCGTTGTGAGTGCGAGGATCAGCTCTCTGCAAAGCCCCGGGGCTGGGGGTAGGGGAAAGGAAGCAGGGGTTGGACTGGTTGACCTCCCGGTGTCCCTTCCCATTTTATGCTTCCCTGCTTCTCTTCTTCTCCCTCTCTGCTGCTCTCTTTTTTGAGAAAAAACAGCCTGAAAATGGCTTTTTTAAAAAAATAAAAAACCATTTCTTAGCCAGTACGAAGAAAAGGAAAAGGCATTTAAGGAGCAGCTGTCTCACCTGGCTTCTTTGCTGCCAACCCTCCAGGTAAGGAGGGACCCATTCCCCCTCCCCTCCTTTTGGACCGAGATATCCTAGCCACGAAGGCACCCCCCCCCGCGTCTTCCCCCTTTGCACCCCTTTAAACCCCATTTTTTGTGTGCAAAACGGCGCCTGTTTTCTGACTTTAGGTGCACCTGGTCACCTGCTCAGCGTTCCTCAGTTCGGCCAACAAAGCTGAATTCCTGGATCTGGGCTACGTGAGTCGAACTTCCCTTTCCCGGAGCTGCCAGGAGGGGCACAAGGGAGGGGGAAGACTTGAACCCAGGGCTTGGAGATGCCTGAGGAGGGGGGCAGCGTCCTGGGGTCACGTGATTTCCTTTTGCGACCTTCGGACCAGCAAAGTGAAGGGGAGGAAGAGACGGATTCCCTTAACGACACTGCGGCTCCCTCAACAACAGTGGCGATTTCACTTGGGAACGGTGGCCAGGAAGGGCGTAAAACGGGGCAAAACGCACTCCGCGCATTTCTCACTCGGCCACATAAATTTTGGGGCTGCGGAATGGACTAAGGCCTCCTGCTCGGGCAGGGGGTTGGACTAGATGACCTCCAAGGTCCCTTCCAGCCCTAGGGTTTTGGGATGGCCGCCCGGTTGACTGAGGCTGCTCTGCTTTTGATTCCAGCAACTCATGGAGCGCTTGCAAAGGATTGTCAAACAACCCCACCGGTTGAGGCCGTCGCAAACCAGCAAGGTGAGATAAACCTGGATTCTGCAGAGAAACCCCGGATTCCTGGTTTGTGGAGGGAGGAGGCTAAGCTAACAGGCCTGTCTGAGCAGAATTCTGGTCCTCCCTCCCTTTTCCTTCCTTCCTCTCTCTTTTTCTTCCTTCCTCCCTCCCTTTTTTCCTTCCCTTCTCTCCTTCTTTCTTTCTCCTCCCTCCCTCCCTCTCCTTTTTCCTTCCTCTCCCTCCTTCTTTCCTTCCCTTCCTCTCTCCTTCTTCCCTTTCCTTTTCCTCCCTCCCTCTCCTTCTTCTTTCCTTCCTTCCTCCCTTCCTTCCATGTCCAGATCAACAGCGAATACCGGGCTGAGTTTGCCCACTGCCTGGAGCCGCTGCTGCCTTTGTCCCCACGCTGGTCAGTGGTGGGCACTGCAGGAGCCATCGGACCCGGCCTGAGCAACAGCAACATGTACGTCTCTTCTTCAGCGGGCACCCTAGAGGTCACTTAGCCCATTGCAACAGCTGGACCCCACTGCATCGTCTCAGCTTTTTCTTTATTGGCTAGGCAGCCAGCTGAAGGCGGGGCTGGCCAGCAGTGACAGCCACTCAAACCCTTGGGGAGGTGGGGTCTATGCGGCAAGGAGTATTCTAGGAAGTCTTAAATAGCCAGTCTCTCCCACCATCTCTTTTGCTTGGAGGACTGAGTCAGCCAGTTAGTGAGATAATGCAGGACTTCAACTCCCAGAATTCCCCAGCCGTCTACCTGTCCCAGGTACTTAGGAAGGACTCTAAGATGTGGGGAAGAAAACCTGGCAAATCCTATTTTAATAATTTTATTTTAATCTAAAACTCAAGTTGGCAGCCCAAGTTCAGGGCTCCACCCGCTGGAGCGTTTCAAATACGAGCCATTTGAGTTGGGAATCCTATGAAGTCTCCTGCCTTAAGCAGCGGGTTGGAGTAGATGACCTCTGAGGTCCCTTACAGCCCCACGGTCCTAGGTTCTAAAGTGTCCTGATTCTGCAACCGACCAGCTTGCAGGCAGTCCTCGACCCACAATTCATTTAGTGACCATTCAAAGTTACAACGGCACTGAAAAAAAGTCACTTAAGGGCTGTTTTTCACACTTTCAATGCCATCCCCAAAAGTCACGTGACCAAAATGCAGCAGCTTGGCAACTTATGACGGTTGCAGGCTTGCCAGGACCTTGCTCAGTCTTTTTCTTGGCTTCCTGGCTTTGCAAGGAAGGGCTAATAAAACTCCCCATTTTTCCTGGCTTCTGTCTAGGATGTCTGGGGTTGCCAGCTCCAAGACCCTCTTAGCGACCGGCTGTTCGTCATCGCTTGAGAAAATGCCCCTGCCTGGGTCGCCGGTAAGGAAGGCCACGATGCACCGATATATCAGCACCAAAGTCCTCCTAGCCGAAGGGAGAGAGACGCCGTTTACCGACCACTGTCGGGACTACGAGAACACCTATCGGGTAAGGACCACGGGAAACCCCGCTCCCAAGGTGCATCTGCCTCATTCGCTTAACGACCGGCGCAAGAAAGGTTGCAGAATCAATCCCAATGACATGGCGACTAACTTAACAATCATCGCAACTTAATGAGGGCTGATTACGGTCGTTAAACCGAAGACTACCTGTACAAAGAGTGAAGAGAAGGATGCAGATAGTTCTCAGTCTACGGCCATTCCATTTGGCGAAGCTACAACTGCACGGAAATAGCCAGTTCTCACACTTATGACCGTTGCATCCCCATTGATGACATGATCCAAATTTCAGGCCTTGACTTGTATTTATGACGGTCACAGCATCCTGGGGGTGTATGTATGTGTGACACGCGATGGCCAATTGGTAACCTTCCAAACCGGCTCCCGACAAATGGAGACAATGCAGGAGGCAGGTTCGCTTAACAACCACAGGATTCGCTTAACGACAGGAGCGGTTCGCTGCTACACAATGCTGGCAGGAAAGATGAAAAGGGTTGTAAAATTGGGCTTGACTCATTCAGCAACCGGCTGGGAATTGTTGGTCATAAGTCGAGGACTGTCTGTAATATATTGGGAGAACGTTTCGTACGTACAATTCTACGTATATTCACCTCTCGTGGAATTTGGGGGCTGCTTTTTAGCCAAGTTTGATCTTTGAAATGTTCCTCCTAGCAAGAACGGGCTTGAGAGGCGGTTAGAACATAGGGCTGGGAGGGACCTCAGAGGTCGTCTAGCCCAACCCGCTGCTTAAGGCAGGAGGCGGTTCCCGACTCGAATGGCGATGGGAGCCCTGGACTTTGGGATGCCGAGTTCAGTTTTTTAAATCCAATTAAAGGTTAGGGCAGGTTCCGCACCCTTTCCTCACGCCGTGTGTGTGTGTCTCTCTCTCTCTCTCTCTCGGCCTGGCGTGCGCAGGCGCTGCAGTCTGAGGTCCAGAGCCTGAAGGACCAGGTGCAGGAGCTCCACCGCGACCTCACCAAGCACCACTCCCTGATCAGGACGGAGAAGGTCAGCGAAATCCTGCAGAAATCCCTCCAGGTGGACGTCCAGATTGCCTCCCAGTTCTCCTCGGTGGAAATGAGACGGACCGGGTTTGAAGAGGTAAGCCGGCCACGCCTCTTCATGGCAACTCTTGAACTCGCCGCCCGGGCTGAATTCTCTCCCCCTTTTTCTTACTCTTTCCTCTTCCTCCTCCTCCTCCTCGCATCGTGGCTAGACCTGGGAGGAGACTTACCAGCGGGTGGCCAACGAGCAGGAGATTTACGAAGGTGAGGGTCTCTTCCTCTTGGGCGGAGGCGCCTCTGAGCGTGTGCAGAAGGAAAAACTCGGCTTCTCTCCTCGCCCAGCCCAGCTCCACGACCTGCTGCAGCTCCGGCAGGAGAACAGCTACCTGACGGCCATCACCAAGCAGATCGGCCCCTACGTCCGCTCCATCGCCCGGGTCAAGGAGAGGCTGGAGCCCAGGTGAGGGCACACCGGCCCCCCAGGTGTATCCACCCATCCGTCAATGAAATCAGCTCCTGGACCATGGCTAGTGGCCTGCCCCGACTCCCTCCCTCCCGCTTCCTTTTCTCTCCTTCCCTTCCTTCCTTCCTTCACCTTCCCTTCCTTCTTTCTTTCCTTCCTTCTCTCCTTTCCTTCCCTTCCTGCTCTCTTTCCCTTCCTTCTCTCTCCTCTCCTTTCCTCCATCCAGCATCCACCCGTCCTTCCTTGTCTTTTTCTTTCCTCTTTCCTTTTTCTCTTTCCTCCCCTCCTCCTCATTCTCCACTCATTCAGGGCTCGCTGAGCCCCCACCGCAAACGGCCCCCTTCACCCCGTGGCGGGAGGCTCCCCTGGGGTTCACTCGGAGCCCCCTCTGCCTCGCAGGTTCCAGGAGGGGAAAGAGAGAACGGATCCGCCAGAGAGCCTGCTCAAGATCTGCGAAGACGGATCCCCCCCGGCCAAAGCTCAGCCCAGGTAGCCGACCGATTCCATGCCTCTTATGGAAACACACAGGTAGCCCTCGGACTTACGACTGCCGAGCCCGAAAATTTTCATGGCTGAGTTGTTAAGTGAGTTTGGCCCCCTCTGACCACCGTTCTTGCCACCTGTCATTAAGTGAATCCCTGCAGTTGTTCACACAGCCGCTAAGCGAATCCAGCTGCCCCCCCATTGACTTTGCCGGTCAGAAGGCGGCCAAAGGGGGAGGGAATCCCATGACCCCCTGGGGACACTGCGACCGTCATAAATGCGAGCCGGCTGCCAAATGCCTGAATTACGGTCACTAAACGGACGACTGTAAGTCGAGGACTACCTGTATTTGGCTTGATTCTTTAATGTTTCTCTCCTTTCTGCGGAACAATCTCGGTAGCACCGGCAAAGAATGGGCCCCTAAACCGGAAGCGCCGATGCTCAGCTCAGCCGCCACAGACCCGCAGCCGAAACTCCCCGAGGTCTTCAAAAACAAGACGAAAATGAGGGCCGAGACCCCCTTGGACCCCACAGGAGCCCCAGCCAGCCTCCCCAAGGAAGGAGACCTGGAGACGCAGCTCCTTTTGCGCTGAGGGTGCAAAATTTTCCTTGCGGAAAAATAAAAATATCTGCCTACCCACCTGTGCCTATGCTGTGAATTCTGGAGGCTT